GACCCTTCAATGCGATCCGCGGGCACATCATCACTTGAGTGGAGCTGCTGGGCAAGGCGAGGCGAGTTGGAGACTCGGGACTGCCGCATCAGTGACGTGACTTCGTGAGTGACTTCGTGAGTCCGTGAGCGAGTTAGTAAATCGGTGAGTTAGTGAGTGAGTTAGTGAGTGGGTGAGTCAGTGAGTGGGTGAGTTAGTGAGTGGGTGAGTGAGTGAGTTAGTGAGTGGGTGAGTGAGTTAGTGGGTGAGTGAGTGAGTGGGTGAGTGAGTGAGTTAGTGGGTGGGTGAGTGAGTGGGTGAGTTAGTGGGTGAGTGAGTGAGTCAGTGAGTGGGTGAGTGGGTGAGTTAGTGGGTGAGTGAGTGAGTTAGTGAGTTAGTGGGTGAGTGAGTGAGTGGGTGGGTGAGTGAGTTAGTGAGTGGGTGAGTCAGTAAGTCAGTGAGCGAGTTAGTAAATCGGTGAGTTAGTGAGTGAGTGGGTGGGTGAGTGAGTGGGTGAGTGAGTGGGTGAGTTAGTGAGTGGGTGAGTGAGTTAGTGAACGAGTTAGTAAATCAGCGCGCTAGTGAGTGAGTGGGTGGGTGAGTGAGTTAGTGAGTGAGCGAGTGAGTAGGTGAGTCAGTGAGTCAGTGAGCGAATTAGTAAATCGGTGAGTTAGTGAGTGAGTTAGTGAGTGGGTGAGTCAGTGAGTGGGTGAGTGAGTGGGTGAGTTAGTGAGTGGGTGAGTGAGTGGGTGAGTGAGTTAGTGAGTGAGTTAGTGAGTGAGCGAGTTGGTGAGTCAGTGAGTGGGTGAGTGAGTTAGTAGGTGAGTCAGTGAGTGGGTGAGTGAGTTAGTGGGTGAGTGAGTGAGTGGGTGGGTGAGTCAGTGAGTGGGTGAGTCAGTGAGTGAGTGGGTGAGTGAGTTAGTTAGTGGGTGAGTGAGTGAGTTAGTGAGCGAGTTAGTAAATCAGCGCGCTAGTGAGTGAGTGGGTGGGTGAGTGAGTTAGTTAGTCAGCGAGTGAGTGGGTGAGTCAGTAAGTCAGTGAGCGAGTTAGTAAATCGGTGAGTTAGTGAGTGGGTGAGTCAGTGAGTGGGTGAGTCAGTGAGTGGGTGAGTGAGTGGGTGAGTTAGTGAGTGGGTGAGTGAGTTAGTAAGTGAGCGAGTTGGTGAGTGAGTGAGTCAGTGAGTGAGTGGGTGGGTGAGAGAGTGAGTGAGTGAGCAGGTGAGTGAGTCAGTGAGTGAGCGAGTGAGTGAGTCAGTGAGCGAGTTAGTGAGTTAGTGAGCGAGTTAGTTAGTGAGCGAGTCAGTGAGTGAGTTAGTGAGCGAGTCAGTGTGCGAGTGAGTGAGCGAGTGAGTTAGTAAGTGAGTTAGTGAGTGAGCGAGTGAGTGAGTCAGTGTGTGAGTGAACGAATGTGTGAGTGAGTGAGTCAGTGAGTTAGTGAGTGAGTCAGTGTGTGAGTGAGTGAGTCAGTGAGCGAGCGAGTTCGTAAGCGAGTGAGTCAGTGAGTGAGTTAGTGAGCGAGTCGGTGAGTGAATTTGCGAGTCCGTGAGCTCGTGTCAGTGAGCTCGTGTTGAGAGCCAATGAAGTTGTTCTGCCGTAGACCAAAGCGAGGAGTGTTTTTATTTTGTGTGCAGCTGCTACCTCGCGAACAGCACCATGCAGCTTCCTCCTCCTGAGTCTGGTGAAGGCTATACGGGGGATCTTTGTCTTTGCGTGAGAATGTGTATGCCTGCACGGTATGTGTGTGTGTAAGACTGTGTGTGTGTCACTGTGTGTGTGTGTGAGACTGTGTGAGTGTGTCACTGTGTGTGTGTGTGAGACTGTGTGAGTGTGTCACTGTGTGTGTGAGACTGTGTGAGTGTGTCACTGTGTGTGTGTGTGAGACTGTGTGTGTGTCACTCTGTGTGTGTGTCACTGTGTGTGTGTGTGTCACTCTGTGTGTGAGACTGTGTGAGTGTGTAACTCTGTGTGTGTGTGTCAGTTTAAATGTGAGTGTGTCACTGTGTGTGTGTGTGAGACTGTGTGTGTGTGTCACTGTGTGTGTGAGACTGTGTGTGTGTGTCACTGTGTGTGTGTGAGAGACTGTGTGTGTGTAAGACTGTGTGTGTGTGAGACTGTGTGTGTGTCACTCTGTGTGTGTCACTGTGTGTGTGTGTGTGTGTAAAAATGTGTGTGTGTGTCACTCTGTGTGAGACTGTGTGAGTGTGTCACTCTGTGTGTGTGTAAGTTTACATGTGTGAGTGTGTCACTCTGTGTGTGTGAGATTGTGTAACAATGTGTGAGACTGTGCGTGTGTGAGTGTGTATCTGCGTGTGTGTAACTCTGTGTGTGCGAGAGACTGTGTGTGTGTGTGAGACTGTGTCTGTGTGACTGTGTGTGTGACTGTGTGAGACTGTGTATGTAACACTGTGTAAGACTGTGTGTGTGTAACTGTGTGTAAAACTGTGTGTGTGTAACTGTGTGTGTGACCGTGTGTGTAACTGTGTGTGTGTAACTGTCTGTGTGACTGTGTGTGTGTGTAACTGTGTGTAACTCTGTGCGTGTGTGTGTGGGGAGCGGTAGTGTAGTGGTCAACCCGGGTTCGATTCCCACTCAGGGCCAACACCACCAGTGACGAACCGGTCCTGGGCCTCCCTTAGGTTGACTCAGCCTTAAACGAGTACTTGGTTTGGTAAACATCGCCACTGGGGAGACAAAGGCGGCCGGGCGTGGTGTACCGGCCTTCATAGGTGCTGCTTGCTAACAGCACTTGCCCCAGCAGTCTGTTCAGGCTACACGGGGGATCTTTGTCTTTGTGAGTGAAATGCTACTGGCTAGCAGCACTTGCCCCAACATCCTGTTGAGGCTACACTGGGGATCTTTGTCTTTGTGAGTGAGATGCTACTGGCTAGCAGCACTTGCCCCAACATCCTGTTGAGGTTACACGAGCGGGAACCTTTGTCTTTGTGAGATGCTACTCGCTAGCAGCAGCACTTGCCCCAACATCCTGTTGAGCCTACACGGGCGGGAACCTTTGTCTTTGCGAGGTGCTAAGAGCACTTGCACCGGCAGTCTGTTCAGGCTACACGGGGGAGCTTTGTCTTTGTGAGTGAGGTCCTACTCGCTAGCAGCACTTGCCCCAACATCCTGTCGAGCCTACACGGGCACCTTTGTCTTTGTGAGGTGCTCCTCGCTAGCAGAAGCACTTGCCCCAACATCCTGTTGAGCCTACACGGGCTGGCACCTTTGTCTTTGTGAGGTGCTGCTCGCTAAGAGCACTTGCCCCAGCAGTCTGTTCAGGCTACACGGGGGATCTTTGTCTTTGTGAGTGAGGTGCTACTCGCTAGCAGCAGCACTTGCCCTAACATCCTGTTGAGCCTACACGGGCACCTTTGTCTTTGTGAGGTGCTCCTCGCTAGCAGCAGCACTTGCCCCAACATCCTGTTGAGCCTACACGGGCACCTTTGTCTGTGTTGCCCCACAGAGTGTTGAGGATCAACCCCACCCCACCCCTACTCCACGCAATGGAGCAGAAGCAGCAGCAACAGCAGCATCAGCAGCAGCAGCATCAGCAACAGCAGCAGCAGCAAGTGAAGAGGATTTGCTGCATTGGAGCGGGCTACGTGGGGGGTCCCACGTGTAGCGTCATCGCACACATGTGCCCCCACGTGACCGTCACGGTAGTGGACCTCAACGCGTCACGCATCGACGCCTGGAACTCCGACAGCCTCCCCATCTACGAGGTGCGTGCCCGAAACGTCGATATAACCCTCAGCACCGCACCCCCCCCCACCCCAAAATAATACAACTATTATGGATTTGTAATAACAGACATAGAGGGTTCACGTGGGGATTGGCTTGCCGGTCCCGCTTTGTAGCCAATAAGGGATGAGCCAGGGAGCATGGCCTCGGCGTGATCACGGAATGTCAGCAGGGGTGATTGGCCTGGCCAATCGGGGCCTCAGCTAATGGGGAGCCGGATCAGAGGCGTGGTTCCGGGACTGACAGGCTACCATCGAGAACGGTAAACGTTGTCTACGGAGGATTGGCTGGGGGGTACCACGTGACGAAGGGATTAAGAGAGAGAGAGGGGGCAGTCGGGAGCAGACTTGGGAACGAGCAGAGCGGGAGTCACGCACGGATGGGGGCTCTGGGTGCCACGTGCGCGGTGGGGACTTGGCGGGAAGTCTGCCCGCTCTCCGTTGTCTGTCAGCAACGGAGAGTGTGTGTGAAGTGTAACTGTGGAAGTTGAAAATAAAGAGGACTGATTCCGAAAGCCGTCTCAAGAAGATTATTACAGATTAACAACAAACTCCGCGGTCAACAACCTTAGACCCTAAATTCTAAACTCTTCACCCTAACTTCTAACCCCAACCCTAACCTCTAACCTTAAACCCTAACCTCTGACCCTAACCTCTAACCCTAAACTTAAACCCTAACCTCTGACCCTAACCTCTAACCCAAACTTTTAACCCTAACCTCTAACCCTAACCTCTGACCCTAACCTCTAACCCTAAACTTAAACCCTAACCTCTGACCCTAACCTTTAACCCTAACCTATAACCTTAAACCCTAACCTCTAACCCCAACCCTAACCTCTAACCCTTACCTCTAACCCCAACCCTAATCTTTAACCCTAACCTCTAGCCTTAAACTCTAATCTCTAACCTTAAACCCTAACCTTAACCCTAACCTCTAACCTCAAACCCTAACCTCTAACCATAACCTCTAACCCCAACCCTAACCTTAAACCCTAACCTCTAACCTTAAACCCTAACCTCTAACCCCAACCCTAACCTCTAACCCTAACCTCTAGCCTTTAACCTATAACCTTAAACCTTAACCTCTAACCCTAACCTCTAACCTTAAACCCTAACCTCTAACCTTAAACCCTAACCTCTAACCCCAACCCTAACCTCTAACCCTAACCTCTAGCCTTTAACCTATAACCTTAAACCTTAACCTCTAACCCCAACCTCTAACCTTAAACCCTAACCTCTAACCTTAAACCCTAACCTCTAACCCGAACCCTAACCTCTAACCCTA